AAAATTATATCCATTTTTTATTTTCAGTCATTTTAGTTAACCATTTGTTATTTGTCCATCTGTCTCGCGAAATCCATTTTTGGATCATTCGCCTTAAAAACTCTGTAGATAAAATTCCTGTTTTAAGTTACTTTTGTTCAACATCAATCCAAAAAACTCCCCTATAACTCTTGGTTCAAAAGCTCGCCTATTTTCTAAATGGTCGCCATTCTTGTCTCGCGAAATTCACTTTTGGCCCATTTTCTAGCTTTACAAATAATTGTAAAAAGCCATGTCACTGTAAAGAGTATATGGCATTGTTTTTGCTTCTTTATTCATTAAATTCAAATATATTCGATATATGAAATATTTATATTCGCTAAATCATTTTTCCATTCGGTAAAAACGTTTATTTGTATGTTACAGCAAATTAAGTTTTCAAAATAGCCAATCACTTAATACTATGTGCATTAAATTACATATTTCATTCGTTAAATGATATTTTTTGCGTAAATTGTTATGGTATTCCTTAAGAGTAACACATTATATGCACAATATTGAATTTCTATTTGAACCCTACCGAAATAAGTTTGCCTATATTTACCAAATGGTTTATTTTTCTATGACATAGTTAATGCATTTTAGCGAAAGCTAATTTGCTATTTACCGAATGCAATAAAGTAATATTCGATAACTTACGTTGTTGTTCGATATTTTGTCACGTGACTTCGAGATTTGCAAAATGGCCGCGCAGCTATTCTACATAGTACAAATATATCACGTGACCGTAAGTCTCGCAAATTATCGAAATATAACGAAATTTATCGAATGTGGCATTCGGTATTTACCGAATATAAATAATTTAAATACCGAATGTACAAATAATTAATTGAATTATACGTGCGTTAAGGAAAACAAATTGATTCGCTGCATCACACAAATACATGTATAAATATCAAATGTGAATGTCAATGTAAAGAACAAGTGAAACTATTTAGCGAATATAAATTGTATAGATTATTACATTTGATAAAATAAAAAACATTCGATAGATTGGGTAAAGGTTTGGTAAATTGTTTGTTTTATTTGGTATTTATGGAATATTAATGTACCGAATAAAGAAGCAGTTTAAACACCATAATGGTAGTTGTTTAAAATAATTTTGTTTCAAAAAATCGGCAAAAAATTATATCCGTTTTTTTTTATTTTCAGCCATTTTAGTTAACATTGATTTGTTAATCTGTCTGGCGAAATCCACTTTTGGACCATTTGCCTTAAAACCTCTGTCGATAGGATTCCAGTTTTAAATTATTTTTGTTCAACATCAATACAAAAAACTCCCACATCACTCCTGGTTCAAAAGCTTGCCTATTTTCAAAATAGTCGCCATTTTTGTCTCGCGAGACTCAATTTTGGCCCATTTCCTAGTTTTCAAATAATTTCAGGTGTCCTGCATCGCAAAAAGCCATGCCACTGTAAAGAGAATAGTTGTATGAAATAATTTTGTTATAATTTGCAAAAAATTATATCTGTTTTTTATTTTCAGCCATTTTACTTAACATTGATTTGTCGGTGACAGGTCATCTCAACCCCAAGTCATCTCAACCCAGTCCAACTCAACCCCAAGTCAACTCAACCCCAGTAAAACTCAACCCCAAGTCAACTCAACCCTGTAAAACTCAACCCCAGTAAAAGTCAACCCCAGTAAAAGTCAACCCTATTCATTTGTGCAATGTAATTTTTTTATGATGAATAATTTAAGTCATTCATTTCTGAAAATCTAGCATTTTGCATGATACTTTGAATAGAAAGTTGTAAAAGTATTCAAAAAAACCGGTTAAAGCTCAAGGATAATTCATCAAGTTGTCACTATTATTTAATTTAAGACATCTTTTGAAATCAAATTTTAGATAATTTAGAAATAATTAACAATGTAATATAACTTTTTATTTATATGTACATGCATTAACAAAATCATTTACATTTACTAATTAATAGACTGAAAGCATCTAGACGTAGTCAGGAGGGGTGCGCACACACCCTCCCCCCAATTTTGAAGGAAGTTGCATCATTTTTTGTCAAAACATATCTTTTTTTGGCTCGCTTATTCAACGATCAGCACCCCCTGACTGAAAACCTGATTTTGTGGGCGATCGCATCCCTCCTGACTGAAAGCTGGTTATGCCCCTGGAAAGCAATGGTCGTGTTCCAGTTTTCCAAATAATCACGAGTGTCAACCTCATAGGGATTACAACAAAACAAATGTATTAGCAAGCTTAATAAAATGATCCATATTTTAATCCTATTAGTACTATGTTGAGATTTTGGAGATGAACACATTATTAACTATAATCTAAAAAGGCAGTGGTCTAAGAATGAAAATCACAAACTGAATAATCAGAAATATTTTTATGAAATAAACGTTCGTATAATATCAATATATAGAAATATAGGGGTTGAGTTTTACTGGGGGTTTTACTGGGGTTGAGTTTTACAGGGTTGAGTTGACTTGGGGTTGAGTTTTACTGGGGTTGACTTGACTTGGGGTTGAGTTTGTCCGTCTTGACCCTTCTCTATTATATTACGAAACTTCCTCAACATAAGCCTAAATTATTTTATTGTCTTTCCTTCTTTATTATTTCAGTCTAAAATTCTTATTTTCAATTTTCTATAATTTCACAATTTCTCTTTAATATTTTATAACCACTTCATGACTTCATTCTTCAATAGTTTTTCTAAAATTCTGTTAAATCACCTTTTCCCTTTCTATTTATATAGTTCTAAATCTCAGCACATTGTTGAATCCTCCATCTCAGAATTGAACAATATCCTCCTCGGATTATTCTTTTTGGTGAGGCAAATTCTGTCAGAAATTCTACTTTCTTCTGAGATGGAAGATTCTAACTTTTCTTCCATAAACAAACACCACAGGAGGTCTGTCCCCAGTCATGGAGATGTCCCAATGCCATACTACTCTGTGTTAAATTGTTTACAAATTATGCATTGGAACACCTCCTTCGGCTGGCTGAGCTGTTGAAGCCGTCAGACTATCATAACTTTCCAGAAAGACACTTCATGATATTGATGTTTACATTACAGAGGCAAAAACGCCAAAACCATCTCGCTTCAGAAAATACTATGAACATACAAACAACTTTAGGGCAAGTTAATCTTCAAACTTTAGTTGATTGAATAACAAATGTCTTTCTGGAGGTTAAATTGTCTTTATGCATTTTCACTCACACTACCCCCCTCCTGGAATCAGACCTCCGGGCTGAGATAGAGAAAGACAATAAAAAAAAAACCATGCGCAAACAGAAAAGATCAACACACTCAACCCCAAAGAAACAACATTACCCCAAATACAAGCAACAGCTGAACAACTTTACTATACTCATTAACAAGCATTATCATCCAAAATCTCCAAAACACCGAAAAAATACCCATTCGGAGCATCTTGGTATAGAGTGTGTTGATTTATCCAAAAATAGATTATAGAAAGCATGTAAGCTCAGTAATATAATATTTACAATAGTAACCAATTAAATCAATCAAATATAGTTGCAAAAATGCAAATTTCTTCCTAACTCTAAGTTCAATATGAAACGGAACATGATAGTCTAAAATCACATATCCTGAACATTCATTAACGAAATTAATCCCTCACTCATAAAACGTAGAAAGTATCCAGGAATTGAATACCATTTATGAACATATAGCATATGAAGATATACTGGCTATACACAATAATAGGTTCTAATACATGATAGATATAAATCATGCTCATTATTTGAATTGTCCATCATAAAATCTAAGAAGTATTCACTAACTCGAAATACAATATCCATGGCAACCCAGTGACAATACTAAGTACCTGTCATGACATCTTTTAACTACATACAAAAATAAATCAGCTGTCTGGTCTACACTTGAAAGTGATACTTCAAATCAACCGCACACAACACAAAGAAAATAACATTTACACATATGGATGCATATCAGATCCACATAATTATGTGGAAATGTTATTCCATCTTTCTATAAAATATACATATTTCTGATATTGTTATAATATATAATGGTATAAAATATAAAATTATATACATGAGAGTATATATAAAAGATATAAAGGTAATATAATTTGTCATACATTATATACAAAATTCTCAGTAGGTCTCAGCTATTACTGTGTAAAATGACAGTACAAGGTACAGGCCATTTTAAAAACTGAAACAATTCTTCTTAAGTTGATAATAAATCAACTTCATTTATTCAAATCAAAATCTAATCACCACTATCTCACTTCCGAAAAACAGAGAAATTGGCCCGAAACATTTGGAGACCACATGTTATATATTCATACAATAAGACCATAACACCCACAGATATGCTTTAGGACACAGGTTTTTGTTTTTGAAAAGAAAGAAATCATGAATGAACTCACCTATTATAAACGTTTGTATGGAATTAGACTAGGTTATGAATTGCAAAAATGGGAAGTTGACGTTTTAAAATTTTATATTCACTGCAAGGATAGGATCGAACTAGTAAAAAATGAATGTAAAGAAAGGAGAGAGTGGGAGCAGACGAATGATTGTGGGTGTTATTTCTGCAAGGTTAGGCTTGGCCTTGCATAAACGTAAGTATCTATAATATATACACATATATCATCAGCATCATCAACATTCGCTATATCATCAGATTGGATCAATTTAAACCTTCGATAGGCTGAAATTCAAAGCCAGTAACACATTACATACTAAATGAAAGAATCATTAAGCACAAACAATTTCTAGTACAGTATTCACTGTTTTTTTTCACAAAATAACCTCATTGATAACAACAAGATATAAATATGCATTGCATAGCTTTGAGGGATAAGTTAAACACAAGCAATGGTAGTAGTAGTATGACAAAATTATGATACATACCTCTCAACCTTACATAAAGAAATAAGTGAAAACCCATTCATTGAAGCTAAATCTCTCATTAAAATTAGAAATGATTCATTAGATGCAAAGCCAGTGAATAATTTGTTTCGAAACTTGTCCCACACGACGCACAAAAACTTCTTCCAACAATGTGATGACTTTTGTGGATATAATATAAAGTAGAATCAAGAAAAATGATCTCACACTGTGCACAAACCCACATATTCATAAACCGTGAATATCGAACCACAGTCCCAAAGTGAAATGTGGTTCTATCTTCAACAATTGATGAAAGTGGGGCATTCACTATTACTGGTGAAAAGTCTTCACATCCTACAGTTTCCCACTCACAACTCACAATTTCCCCCAGAAACATCTCACCCGTAAAATCAAAACCATCTAAAAAATCATTCCAATCCATTGGCAAACCAGCCTCAGTCAAAGCTTTTTGTAAAATATCCTCCTCCTGTTCATTCATTTCTACAACTTCTATTGCATCTTCAAACATATCCTCAATTTCGAACAGATCATTGTCAATAGAAAGAGGAGAAATGTCTTGATAAGTGTGTATGACTCCAGGAATAATGAATGGCCCCACATGATTTGTCCTGTCAACAGGATTTATCATATGTATTAAATTGTCGCCCGTGATTTTCTGTTTCTATAAATGAATTTCAATGGTGATAATCCAAAGTATAAAAATGGCGAGCAAAGTCTTTCTCGTCTCGGAAGATAGTTTTACAGAGAGTACAAAGTTTACTTTCATCATCATCGTGAGTTGACATGTGTAAACGCTGTATGACAATGTCAGTGAACGATATATTGCAGAATGAACAACGCAAATCTGAATCCTGAATTGATGAATTGTCTGAAGTAATTGAAGCTTGGTCGATTGTTATAATGTCTGATGGATTAATATGAGAGTTCAAAGACGAGTATGATGAATGGGATGATGATGAATCTCTGTTAAATAGCCAGTCTTTCACTAAATCTCCATCCGGCAAACTCTCATGACAATCTGACATATGATCGAAAAGTTCTAAAAATTTATGAAAAATCTCAGAAAGTCCTGTCTCCTCTAAACATATTTGACAAGTCCATTCCATCTGAAATGTATAATTTTAAATTCATATTAGAATCTAGATCACTGCAAAATTATAAGGAAATGGTCATTGCTAAAAAAAAATCACAGATTTTAAACAGATGTTTCGGCCATCACAATTACTTCATTGTCAGAGTGAGATTGGTTAGAATTTTTCTTTGCACCTTTTGCCACCACCTTTCCCAACCTTATCAAAATAGCGCGCTGTCTTTTATACAGCATTAACAGACCAACTGATAACACAGATAATACCACAAGTACCATAATTTGAATCAAATCGACCCAAGCGGAATTCAATGCCTTTAAGGCTGGAGCACTTGGATATAAAGGTTCCTGAATCCATGAACCACTTTCTTTAATGTTTGCAACTACATCTAATAATTTGTGTTTAAACTGTTTGTCCCCAATTTCAGGATCCGTAAAATTGGGTACAACTGGCAGTTTCATTGGTTCAAGATCCTGTAAATCCTCCACTTTTAAAAATGGTGCCACCTTACCATCAGAGAAATGAAAGTGAAATGGCACGTTTGGTTGTACTTGTGATTCCATAATGGCAACCGTTCTACATGTAGACACGTCAGCAAACAATTTCTGATTTACTGACGTTACTACACACCCACAGGGTATTTTTGCAAAACATGCTAAATTATAACATAACTGTTTACTGTTTCCTTTACATGACATTTTTACCAGTCCAGTTCCATTCGACAACATCAGATAGCGTCCTACATAAGCTAAATCATCAGTCGTGTAATTCAAGGCAACATTTATAGTGCATGCTTCAGATGCTGCTACAAGATTTCCGAGATATATCTGCGCAATGCAAGAGTTCAGAGTCAAACGTCGTGGTCTTAAAGGTCCATTACAGCTTGAAGTACCAATACAAGACAGATATTCGCTTGTTGACATTTCTATATACCGGTCAGCCACAGCACTTATGCCGAAATAGTCAGGCAAATTCATAACTCTTGTCATCGAGCGTCCTTTTAATCCAACAGGTAAAACATGTATCGAATATAGATTAAGTGGACTTTGAGCTTTGTGAATAGGGATGTGAATCTGGATATACAAAGCTTCTTTTGTCGCAGCAGGGAAGCAAACAACATCCCGATAATAGAAAGCTATATTCTTATGAGTGATTTCCCAGTCCTTCTCTTGTGAACGCAACGACTGCTCCACCTCTTGTAGTATCCATTGCAGTTTTTCAGGTTCAATAAGTGGTTGTGGAAGTCGTCCAGCTAAGAGAGTTTGAACACCACTTAAAAATGCTGCATATCCTGTTTCAATTAATGCCAAATGTTGACTGTGCACTCTCAATGCATCGACTAACACAATCATTACAGATTCTACAAAATGAGAGTGTTGGATTGCAGCATCAAATTGTTGCTGAATATCAAATAATGTTGTTGAAACGTTCATAAAATATTGTTTCACTCGAATCTGGTTTTCCTTTACAACTGATACCAAATTGTCCACTCTACTATTTGTTAGATTTGTGATTGCCAATATCTCTCGTCGCATATTGTTTGCATTTGAGATTATACTCCTCTGCGATGTTTCAAGTGTAGATATATGCTCGCTCAGCACTTTAACACTGTCAGCTGTAGCCACTCCAAATAAATAGGACATTGCATCCCCAATAAAAGGTAACAATGCTCGCTTTAGATTAATGTCCCTTAATTTTGGTAGCGAATGCTGCACATCTCTTGTCATTTTTGTGATCCGAGCATCTAGTTCCTGTATATCAGTGTCCATTTGTCTAACAACATGTTTTGCTCTTTCACAAGTAGAGAAGGTTGTGTAGGAGTCAAGACTATGACCTGTCGCATAAGAGGACAGGTTGGCATATACCAAACAGTCAATATCTTTTGCTAGACGTTCATGTACCGGATTTGGCCACTTGAAGCCCAAAGTATAATAGAATTTTGACTCTGATACTTCAAGTTTCCTTACCGGATTGAATAACACACCAAACTGTTCATTCAAAACAGGATCTATCCCACAAATCTGTCTAAATAACGCTATAATCAGCCACACTCGAAACATATTGTCAGCTATCATTATGTAGAACGGTTCACTCTTCTGGTGTATGCATCAGTGAATAAATATATTCATCATTTTGATTGTCAGGTTCTGCTGGAGAATCCAAAAATGAGTGATTTCCATTACGTAAATGTGAAAAGTCTGTATCGGGCACATTATCGAGATGAGACAATGAAAGGTCAATTCTCTGAGGTCTATACCAGAAGTAAGTAATTGTAGTTAGTCTATCCATCATTCTGCAAATAAAGGGACACAAATTAATCGTTTTTCTTTGTTGTCTGCGAATATTCATTCAAAACGTATTTGTTTTTTAAATATTGTATCTCCTGCCTAATCAAATAATTTTCGAGTTGTAAACGTTCATTGTCATGACTCAGGTCATCTCTTTCAATCTCTAACTGACGTTTACGCCTATTTCTCGATCTAGAAGCATACTGTCGGTTCTTCAAAACTCGTCTTCGCTGCCTGTAATATCCCTTTGTAAATTCATTACAATTCTTTATTGCGTTACGAAATGTAGTCAAGTTCAAATTAACAAGTTCCTCATCAGATAGTTCAACTGTAGCCGATTGGGATTCACCGCTCACTGTGGTATTCTCCCTAGTTTTCTCCATTCTCATCTCAATTGAGAAAGCACTATAATACAATAGTATAATACATTAGTGACAGTTTACTCAGACTCACTTTTACAGCAGTCTGTTTACTCATCAGTTTCTAATTTAACTGTATCTGGTTTTACAGTACAAGAGTCATCAGATAGACATCTATCAAAGTAAGGTTTGAGCCTGTTATGATTCACAACATGTTCTTTAGAACCTTTCACTTTCTTAATCCGAAATACAAGATCAGACAGTTTGTCAATGATCAAATAGGGTCCATCCCAAAAACAAGTCAACTTGGTAGCGCATCCATCTTTAATCCGGGGGGTGTACAGTAAAACTTTGTCCCCTAGTTCATACTCATTTTTGTGAATCCCATGATGATCGTATTGTTGTTTCCAAACTTTGCTCGAGATATCTAAAGTATCCCTCGTTAGTTCATGAACCATGTGCATATGTTCAACCAAATCAGCAACATATGTATTCAGTGATTTGGAAGTGACAGTCTCAGGACATCGACCAATTAATAAATCAATTGGCATTCTCAGCTCACGTCCAAATAATAGTTCATTTGGACTAAATCCTGTTGACCTGTGAATAGCATTACGATATGCCATCATGGTTAATGGCAAATGTAAATCCCAGTCAGATTGATTTTTCGCAATAGTTTTGCTCAATATCGATTCAAATGTCAAATGGAGCCTCTCAATCAATCCACTTCCTTGGGAATGGTACGGAGTGGACATAGTGTGATCTATCCCCAAAATATCACAGAGAAGCAAACAACTTTGATGTAAACTGGGTTCCTCTATCCGAGTGGATAAGCAATGGTATGCCGAAGATACTCAAAAAGTTATCAACAAGCACACGTGCTACAGTTTCAGCTTCCATATCCTTCATCGGAACAGCTATAGCAAACCGAGTAAAATGATCAGATATTGACAGAACATATTTATTCCGCCTAACTGTCCTTGGGAAAGGTCCTACAATGTCCAGAGAAATTCTCTCCAATGGTGCTCCAACATTATACAACTTCAGAGGTGCCTTTGGAGTTTGATGAGGACGCTTTCGTCTTTGACAGCTATCACATGTTTTCACCCAATTTTCTATGTCACGTCTATATCCATACCAATAAAATCTACCCCTTGCCTGCTGAAGAGTCTTGTCAGCTGCATAGTGACCACCTGCTGGAGAATCATGTAGATACTTCATAATCATGAGCCTCATTCCCTTAGGAACAACTAACTGCCATTTAGTTGTTGATGTATTCAGGACTATCCATCTTCGATACAACACCCCTTCAATAAGGAAAAGTCTGTTCCATTGAGAGACATAAGACTTTATCTCTGGACTGAGACCTGATATTTCATGCCATTCCGGTCTTTTGTCAATCTCTTTCCAGTTAATAATTTTCGCGAGAACTTGATCCTGTGACTGATATTGTCGTATTTGATCGGTATTCAGCGGACTTGGCCAAGAGAAGTTGACCTTATCATCTTCGGTAGACGTCTTTGGCTCAAGACGTTTCTTCTGAGCTCTCGTCAACACCATAACGTCATGTGAGACATTTCTTTCTTTTGATAATTTTTCGGCAAGCTCCTTTCGCTCACAATGGCTGCATTTATCTGGGCATGGTCTACGAGAGAGAGAATCAGCATTTCCATGCTTTATTCCACTCCAGTGCTCAACAGTATATTTGTACATTCCCAGTGTCTCCAACCATCTTGCTAACTGTCCTTCTGGTTGTTTAAAATTAAAGAGCCATTGTAGAGCGCTATGATCAGTCCTAATCTTGAAGTCTGCCCCAAACAAGTAATGGTGAAAATGTTTAACAGATTTCACCACTGCTAGAAGCTCACGTCTGGTGGCACAATAATTTTGTTCTGAACGATTTAATGCTGTTGAATAGTAGGCTATTACAGTCTCCAAGTCATTATGTTTTTGAGATAATACTGCACCAATAGCCCATCCGCTAGCATCAGTGTCCAAAATATACTGAGCACCAACAATTGGATAAGACAAAACGCAAGTTGTTGCAAG